ATTTATTTTGAGAGAGAGGGAGAGAAACAGACTGCGGGAACAGGTAGGTGAGGGGCAGAGAGAGCAGTGCAGAGCCTGACATGGGACTCGATTCCATGAACCGTCAGATCATGACCTGAGCTGAAATCAAGAGTCGGACGCTTAACTGACTGAGCAACTCAGGCGCCCTGAAAATGATCCAATTTTTAAATGAGCAAAAGACTTTAACACTTAATCAAAAGATATATAAATGGCAAATAAGCACATGAAAATATATTCAAAGTCATTAGCCGTTAGAGAAATGCAATTAAGACTACAATGAGATCCACTACACCCCAAATAAAATGGCTAAAATAAGTACTGACATTCCAAGTGCTGACAAGGATGCGGTGTGACTGGAACTATCCTATAATGCTGGTGAAAATGCAAAATGATATGGCTAGTTCAGAAAATGGTTTGGCAGTTTCTTACCAAGTTAACCATATAGCTGCCACATGACCTAACAGTACTACTTCTGGGTATTTAGTGTAGAGAAATGAGTGGAAAAACTGTACTGTAGTACAGCAGTCATATGAAATGAGGTACTGATACAATACAGATGAATCTCAAAGGCGTTATGCTGACTGAAAGAAGATAGTCTCAACAGGTTATATAATGTTTCCAATTATCTGGCACTGCCTAAAGGACAAAGCTATCGTGCATTCCCTGTCCCCAAGGTTTTGTCTTTGTCATGAATTCTTCTGGTGGCTATATGCATGTGTGGCAGAAGGAAGGTATCTATTTATATTTCCTTTTTCTTATGGGGACAACTAGTTGTCCCAGTCTCATTTATTGTATCGTACATTCTTCCGCCACTGAATTTTTTTCTATTGAAATATATTTGACATATAACGTTATGTAAGTTTAAGGTGTACAACATGTTGACTTGATACATTTATATACTGTAATATGATTGCCATTATAGTGATAATTAGCATCTCTATGTCACATAATCACTTCTTTCTTGTGGAAAGAAGTACCCCCACTCATTTTAATGCCACACATATTGTATGTTTTCTCAATAAATGTATGGGTATGTTTCTGAGCTCTCTATTCTACCTCTGGGTCTTTTTATCTATCTCTACAACAATACCACGCTGCCTATACTGTTAACAGTTGTAAAATACACCCTTACTATCTGATATAGCAAGTTACCCTTTTCTTCTTCAAAACTGTTTACCTATTCTTAGCCTTCTCTTCAACCTAATTCAACTTTCTCTCCAACTAAATGGACATCCAGAGCACTCTAGATCAAACTGCTAGCTATTAATTTTAACTAATTCAAACCATTGGTAGATGTCTGAACTCAAAGAATCCTACCTTATCTTCTTTTGGTCAACAGGACAAATGTTATTCCCATTTCATCAATGAGGAAACGCAAGGAGCCAAGCTAGTACCAGAAATAGAATTTCTGATCCTGAGTTTAGTGCTCTACACAGGAGCCAATGTGGATCCTCAGGACTCTGTTTACTTTTAGCCATGTAAAAACCACCTGTCTCCCCGGGTGGAAAAACAATGCAAATTCCCTGACCATGCTTCACCAATGGGACTTCCAAGATATTACAAAAACTGAGTATCAAGCCAGCAATAGAAAATAAACGAGGCTGTAAGTGAAGAAAAGACCAAAAAAAAAAAAACCCCAAAAAACCCCAAAAACCAAAAAACAAAAACAAAAACCCACAAAATTTCAACTATTTTCCCTTATGATTAATAAAAGCCTAACATCCATTTTAATTGGGCATCACAGTTAGTTATAAAATCAATTAATGTTTACTGACAGGTTTTTCAAAATTAACATCCACTTTAAAAAATCTCTAGGTTGCATAATGAAATACTGTCAAAATCAGTTACAGTTAAAATATGTTTTATAACTACAAAAATATACCTATTCAGAGAAAGGAATTATAAACATCAGATAATTGAAAGCATAATTTTATTAACACTTTAGAAAAATAGTGACACAGAGTTTCTAAGAATCCGCATGTTCATTTCCTGTATGTGAAACAACAGAAGTTTAAAATAGTTTATAACATGCATTTACTTTGCTAACTTTTTTGAAAATCATTGTGCTTTCTCCCCCTCTTTTGGCTGGTAAGTGGAGTGGGAAGAAGATTGTTTTTCCAAACTCTCTAACAAGTTTTAAATATTTAAAAATAGACTCCAGTAAAAAAAGAGAGTATTTTCAATTTATCTGCCTATCTTTATAGTGCTTGTCATAACTGGTCACAGTGCACTTACATTATTTTCCATAGGTAGGCCCAATTTACAGGTGGAATTTTTCTAAAGTGGGTTTTTCCCTGCCTGCATTAGCCACATTCTCGCCCACTTTGCCACCCAAAGATGTTGGCAGACTCCTGGCAGAGGTTTCGGAACATTCTGCTGCTGATAAAAGAGAAACCACCACCCACTCAAAATACCAACTGCCAGCTGTTCAGTTTTACATTTTGGTTAAGAAAAATTTAAAGAAATTCAAGTCACTCTTCTTTCTCTTTCATCCACAAATCCACTATCCCATAGCTGGACCTACACAGAAATATCGTGACTACTAACACACCATAAATTTCTTTAAATATGCTTTTTTTAATGTTTGTTTATTTTTGAGAGACAAAGAGACAGAGACAGAGATAGAGAGAGACCGTATGCACATGCAAGTGGTGCAGGGGCAGAGAGAGAGGGGGCAGAGGATCCGAAGTGGGCTCTGTGCTGACAACAGTGAACGTACATGGGGCTCGAACTCATGAACCGTGAGATCATGACCTGAGCTGAAGTGGGACACTCAACTGACTAAGCCACCCAGGTGCCTCTGTCCTTAAATATTAACAACCTAGTTTAAATTTTATTGGATTGTTCAGGCACACTAACTGTATTAATTAATACATAATGTTAACAGATACATATGGAACCAGAAAAATAAAAAAGCATAGTTATGGCTTCCTTAGAAACTTTTAATCTAAAGAAATCAAGAAAGAGTGCATGTAAATTACATATAAAAATAAGCATCTTTTATCGACAATATATTTCTGCATTTGAAAGCATAGAAAATTTTTTACGGTCTTTGAAAATGATGGAATGAACACGTTTGAAGCTTTATGAAGAAGATAAATTTGTTTTTAATGTTTATTTAATTTGAGAGAGAGAGCGCAAGCGGGGGGGAGCCAGAGAGAGAGGGAAACAGAGAATCCCAAGCAGGTTCTGTGATAGCAGTGCAGAACCTGACACAGGGCTGGAACTCACGACCACGAGATCTCATGATCTCATGATCACGAGATCATGACCTGAGTCGAAATCAAGAGTCTGACGCTTAACCAACTGAGCAACCCAGGCACCCCTGAAGAAGATAAAATTTTAAAATTGGAAGAACAGGATTTAAAAGGACATAGGAGAATTTTTTTTACCTTAGAATTGTAGCTAAATATAAGTTGCATATACGTGGAGATTCAAACAGGTAATGACAAGTCAAGGAACTAACCTAATCTAAACTGGTTATTTATAACCTATGGGCCAAGGAGTCATTGGAAGTTACATGGATGTACACGCACCCAGTACAATCTGTAGTCTAAAATAATTTGCTCACCCACTTATTTCTCTGTTTTTCAAATGTAGACAGATACTAGTAAAATAAAATAGCAAATCACTTAAAAGTTTAAGTTTTTTTTTTCCCATTATGCATAATCTCAACCAACAAATACTAAAAGTACAATTACTTCTGTGTTAGGAGTACAGTTTCTCATGTTCAAAACGGATCAGGGGCCTTTAACATACAAGGTTCCTTCTGGCTATTTAAGGGCACTAAGGACTTCTATCATTAATCTTTAGAACTTGTATTTACAAGTATACATATTTACAAATGTGTACACACATGATGCCTGCTATGTACATCCAAATCATGCCTGCTATACCCCCAGGCATTGGACCAGCTTTTGTTACAAAGATGAATAAGACAGGATTCCAGACTCAAGCTCAAATTGATACAGATACATGAACAAATAATACAACCTAATAAATACTGCAGAGCTGTTTCAAGTGCCCTGGGAGCACAATGGCATTATTAATGTCACCTGGGGGAGTATGAGAAAACAAGGATCTATGAATTCGGTCTTGACAGGTGGGGCATGGGGTGGAGAAGAAGAGTTAGCATTCTAAACAGATGGTACAGCACACACAAAGGCACAGAGTTGTGAAAGTGCATGACATGTTTGGGGAAAAACAGTTCTCTCGTATGAGTGGATATCGAGGTATTTGGAGGAGAAGAGGAGAGGAAAAAGATAAAATGAATTGGGATAGGTAGTAAAAGGCCCTAAATGATATGCCTCACAATTAAGACTTAATTCCATCAGCAATATGGTTACTGACAAAGTTTAAGGACTGACATAAACGGATTTCAGAATAACTGTATGGAAGGATGAAGGTGGAGAAACTACTGGGGGAGGGTGGGTAACTGCAATAATTCTGGTGGAAGAAATAATACAGTTCAGTGCAAGTGGAAATGCAGAATCAGGGACAAAGGTTTCTAGTTTGGACAGAGGGATGGATACTGGTACCATTATGAGAGATGGGATACATTGGAAAGGAAGAAAACCAGGAAAAGAGTAGTATTCCTGACAGGGCAGTTTTTCAAGAGACAAGAAATGGTTATAGGCATGATATATCCTGCAAAGCGGTAAACTCAAAACCGAAAGGGTCCCTCTTCCCTCCTCTCAATGGTCAGCACCCAGGTGGGTTTAGGCAGGAAGAAAAAAGAAACGGAAAATGCGTCCACACAGGGTTACGGCCAAAGCTTCAAGAAACTTTCCGCACCTCAGACCCGGAAAGAGGAGCTCACAACTGAGGCCGGGAAAAGGAAGGAGCGGGTAACCAGCGCAGGGAAGCGGCTAGGGACAGGGGGCAAGCAGTTCAAGAGGTGGAAAGCACCAGAGCGGCCCAGGGGAAGGAAACTTCCGACTCCCTTTGCCCGCTCATGTCCCTGGATTTATTCCACTTACTCTGGTCTCAATCCCTCGCAGCCGTCAACAGTGGCGTTAGGACTCAAAGCCTCTGCTAACAGGGACCTACGCACCCACGGGAAGAGACTCCGCTCGTCTGTTCACCTTCTTCAGCGAGCAGACTCAGGACCCAGCAGAGACCATCAGTGGAGATGCGGCTGGAGGGGTCAGCGGAGCTCAGCCCCATCACTGGCCGGAGGTAAACCTCCGCGGACCGCCTCGGACCTGCACGCTCAGAGGACCCAAACCTCGCGAGATTTCCTTCCTCACGTTACGGTGGGGGCAAAGCCAGAGATTTATTTGCGGGTCTTTGCAGACATGCGCGAGAGGTGGAGGCGGTTCCCTTCTACGTCCCTCCCTATTAATCTACTCAGGCTGCCGCTTGGCTTCTCGCAAAGTGTCGCGAGTTTTGACAGGGGAAGCCGGCCTGGGTGGAGAAACCGAGAAAGGGAGGCCGGGTGGAGGCCGGGTGGGAGGGCCTTGCGTTAAGAGAGCGTGGCTGGCTTAGGCGGTGCTGTGGTTGGTACTTCGCTGTTGTGGAGTCTCTATGGTCGCCCGGATCAATCTTCCCAGTGGGTTATTGGGAAAATTAGCCGGTAGAAAATCTTGAGCGTCGGAGGCATTTTTTTCTTGGCTCCGCCCTCTTCCTGTTCTGCGAGCTGGGCGTCTGGCCCACCGAGGGGGAAGGGCAGCTTGGCGGGGCTGTGGAAGAGGGCTTTGCGCACGCGCGAGTCCGAGTGTGTGAGTGTTTGTGTTCACGCGCACGCGCGCGCGCTCTTGCATTTAGGAAGCCTGGGAAGGACCGGTGTGCTAGGAGATGAGCGGGGAAAGCATAGTTCCCTGTCTTTGGTACCAGACACTCCTGACTGTGCGCTGACCCTCCCCACCCAGCCAGCAGCCTTTTCCAGAGAGGCTGTGGTCCATAGCCTCTGTTCGTTTTCACTGCAGGACCAGGCACGAAAGTAAGCAAACCTCGATCCTGAGGTCTTCCCTATTCACTCACCTTGTACTTTCCACCCCCCACTCTCCAGCAGAATGTGACTAGGTTTCTCAAAGAAGAGTTTGCATGAAGGGGAAATGTGTTTGAAAGCAGAAGAAAATAGCTAGATCGTAAAAAGTCGATTCGGTTTGATGAACACTTTGCTTACCATGTGCTTTTTGAATGTGGATTGTCTATTCAGTATAAGGTTTTATTTAGCGAAGCAAGGGAGTTTTTATAAGAAAAAGTTTAAAAGTTTCTCCTCTCCAGCTCTGTGAATGGTAGCAACTAAGTTTTCTGTTCTACATGGTAAATTACCATGGTGTTTCAAATACTAAGGGGGAAGAGTTTGAATTTGGGGTCTTTATCCTAATGCGAAGACCCGATATGCAGTTGTCGTAGGAGATGTTTTTTATATTTGGGGCTTTCCTTTTGCTGTCACTCCCCTTTCCTGTTAATTCTGGCTCCCCTCATCCTTTTTCAGAAGTCTTAAGACTTTTTGGAGGGAAGCCCAAAACTACTGACTTGGGTTAGTTTGGGGGTTTGTGTGTGATGTCAATTAGGAAGAATCATTAGAAGTGTATTTGAAGAGGACTTATCATTTGTTATGTTTGGTATTATGGAAGGCAACCGACCACAGTTATTTGTAAGCATTTTTTCCTGACAATTTTTAGTTCATTCAAAAAGCAAAATTTTGTATGGACTGTAATTTTGCCTGTGACTGATAGAGTGACAGCTTAATATGGTGTAGCTTATCCCTCGAATTGATAGCTACTTTCTAGTCATGACCTCATTAAATCTTGTTGGATAAATTTCTTTGAATACTGATTATTCATGTACCCTACCAAATCTTTTTGAGGAAGAGACACTAATTAGGAACAATTTAAGGATATTAAATGTCATGTATAAGACATTTGGCTAATATATTTTATCCCTTACAGGTTAAAACAAAATGAAGATTTTTTCTGAATCTCATAAAACAGTATTTGTTGTAGATCACTGCCCTTACATGGCAGAATCATGCAGACAGCATGTCGAGTTTGATATGCTGGTGAAGAATAGGACCCAAGGAATCATCCCTTTGGCCCCCATATCTAAATCCTTGTGGACTTGCTCAGTAGAATCTTCCATGGAATATTGTAGAATAATGTATGATATATTTCCTTTCAAAAAGCTGGTGAGTGTGAAGTACAAGAAAAATCATGATTTGGGGGGATGGACTTAACTGCCTGTTACATTTTTTAATATAAGAATTTACTATAGATTTAACTTGAAACTGTTTACTACTTTAAAAATGTGGTATTTAGAACTCTTCTTTGCAGTTAATATGTTATGTATGTTTAATTGGGGCCAATAACCATCATAACAGCTAACAGTTATGGTGCGTTTACACATACCAGTCATATCCAAAGTATTTCATATTTATTAACTCCATTAATTCTCACAACAGTCCTATAAGGTAGCTACTCTAATTACTGGGACAATATTCGAAGTATATAATAACCCGAATAGAACAGGCACTGACCATTGAGAGCTATTGCTGGCCTAAGCAGAAAGGATGTGGGCTGTGGGCAATGTCAGATTGTGTTGGTGTGTACGATCTGAATATCAGCCGTGTTTATTATTGCCATGTTGGAGATGTAGAAACTGAGGTAAAGACAGGAAAGTTGTCCTGAGTCACACAGCTAGTTAGACACAGAACCAGAATTTGAACCTAAACAGGCTGGCTGCTCATAGTGTTAGTGAATGCACACTAAACTGCTGCAGGATTTGGCTGTTAGAAGGAAATGCTCTTAAGAATGCTAAGAGGAATTTGTTTTTATCCACAAGAAGAGAGATTGAAGATTGATAGATTCCAGATATGAAAATTACCTTCAGGTTTCATCATTTCAGCTATTTTATTTTGGGAGAGTCATTTGGTTAGCCACAAGTGGATGATTTGCTTTGTCTCATTTGGAGCAGCCTAGGCTGGGACCTAGCCAGTTCTTAGACTGGCACAGGCAGGGCAGTAACAGTAAGGCTGAACATAGAGAATCTATATATTCAGATATATTCCAAATTAAATGTAAGTGTTTTTAGTCCTTCAGTAAATTGTGCATTATGTAGGGTAAAAAAATACGAAAGGGAGGATAACTAGTCATTTAGGGTGCAGGCTTTGGTTCAAATTCTGGCTTCATCAGCTACCACAGTGTGACCTTGATCATATTGCTTAATTTCTCCAAGTCTGGTTCTTCCCATGTAAGCATAACACCTACTTCCTATGATGTAAGATTTCAATGAGATACTGTAACTGAAGTGGCTAGTAAAATGTCCCTGTCAGGTAAGGCTTAGGAGAGAAGGCTACTTATCACATTTATTAGGGGTGCAAAACTAGTATTTCATGGATGGTAGGAAAAAAGATCATGGATTAGATGATATAGTCCAGAGGAAAGAAAGAATCTCACCCTCCTCCAAAAGAACATTCGTCATTTTATGTATTTTCTAATATATCCTTACTAGCATTATCATCTTCTGTGATAGTATTTTTTTGGTTTGCATTGAAGTCCAAATGCACTATTTTGACTTTCAATGCCTTTTGTGATATGGCTACTGCTTATTTCTCTGAGCTTTCCCCCGACCCCTTTGCCTGTTCTGACCTTTTCATCCTTTTGAGGCCTTTGCGTTTGCTGTACCAGGAATTCTCTATCCCCAGCTCTATTTATGGCTGTTTTCTTTTGGTCGTTTTGGATTCCCCCCAATTGCCACTATAGACCACCCAACCTAAAGTAGCTAACCAATTTCTTTTTCATAGCATTTGTCACTCACTGAAATAATCTTGTGCATTTGTTTGTTTGTATTCTTCCCATACTGCCCTCTGTCTTACCACTACCCACAAACCCCTGACTTTCCCCACATTGTGAGTGATACAACTTTCATTCATCACTGTATTTCCAAATCCCCAGTGCCGAGGATAGCACCTGGCAGATACTAGGCATTCTAGAACTATAAAGTGAATGAATGAATCAGCAAACCAGTTCTAGGAACTGCATATTATTTTAAATATGATGTGATTTCAGTGGAATTGGATGTGAATACTAATTCTGTCTTTGAAATCTATCAGGTGAATTTCATTGTGAGTGACTCTGGAGCACATGTTTTAAATTCTTGGACTCAAGAAGACCAAAATTTGCAGGAGGTATGGTTAGGTTTTGAGCTGTGGCCATTTTTGAAAATTATCTGAATGTGGTAATACTTTCTTGAAAGATGATTTAAAAGATTTTTTTTTATCACTATAGTATTTGCACATAGTTTTAAAACAACTACTACTAAAGGAAAGCCAGCTATCTTCATTCCAGTCTTTCCCCAATTCCTAGAAGCAAACTTTCAACTCTAACTCATCTAGTATTTACTTCCATATTTCAAAATAACAAATTTTTACTGCTATTGATAGAATTCTCAATTTAAACTTTATTTTTTTATCATTATTGTTAGTGAGGAATTAACTTTTATATTCTCTGCCACCCATGCCCCTCTACCTCCCTTCTGCCGTTCCTTCATTTTCTCAGTGTTGTTATGTCAGAATTTTTGTTAATTCAAAATTGCATATTTGCATTATAATATCTATATAAAGTGTTACTGCTAAGCTAAGTAGTATATGTGGTTATTTCCTTTCTCTCTCTTTTTAGGTTTTATTGAGGTATCATAGCACTGTATAAGTTTAAGGTCTGAAACATAATGATTTGTCTTACATATTATTTCCTTTCTTGTGTGACTCTTTGTTTATTCTTACAATTTATCATTTCCTTCTTAATTGCTCAATTTTATGTATATCTGTTGCTGCTTTTCCTCATGTTTCTACAAAACTTCCCAATATTTTGATCAGAAATGTAACAGCTTCGTTTTTTTGTCTTGAAAAACTTCTTGGAGCAGTCTTTTGCTCCAGTTTTAGCTGGCCGCTTAATAGGCCTGGTGCTTCTTAAACATTATGTGTCTAAGGATATTGGGTTTGTGGTAGCTTATGTTCTTTGCTATTGTTGGTTGGATGGAAGACTTCAGTTTACTGGTTTCTTTACTGATGAAGATGTATCTGAGAGACAGACATTAGTGAAATTTTTGAATACATTGTTTGAATTATTTCATGTTAAAAT